CCTGAAGGTATCAGCAATATAGCTTAGATGCGACACAAGCAGGAAGTTGTGACATCTAATCAGCAACAGGCGGTTAGTGGAAGGACAAGATTATTACCCAAAGGGTCTTGCACCACAAGACCCAAAAACAAGAAAGTCCAGTTGAAAAAGCACCACTGAAGACACAGATAAACCTCCAAGTTGCCTCAATGACTCACTAAAAGGATGCAAATGACCAGCTGTCTGCAAGGAGTATAAATCCTTCCATTCCCCACCATCCAGTCAGAGCTGAAGAAGAGAGAAGCAACCTAGAACTAAGGAGAAACTTCCTGACAGTTAGAACAATTAACCAGTGGAACAACCTGCCTCCAGAAGCGGTGAATGCGCCAACACTGGAAGTTTTTAAGAAGAAACTGGACAGCCATTTGTCCGAAATGGTATAGGTTTTCCTGCCTGAGCAGGAGGTTGGATTAGATGACCTCCGAGGTCCCTTCCAACTTTATCATCATCATCATCATCATCATCATCATCATCATCATCATCATCATCATCATCATTATTAAAAACAAGGAAGTCCAGTTGCCTCCTGAAAAAGCACCTTTAGGACCACCGAGATCCGGATGATGGAGAACCTCCATAGACAGGAAAGAGGTAATCTATCCCTTAAACCAGGGGTAGGCAACTTTGACTCTTTTATGACTCGTGGATTTCAACTCCCAGAATTCCTGAGCCAGCATGGGTCTTGTGGTGCAAGATTGCAGAAATGGGCATTGCCTAAGCATTTAATTTTTCTGGTTGAGAAAATGGCAGCTGGATCTTGTATCAAGAAGCGTCCTTCTCTAGATGAGGCATTTTCTGGAACTGCTTGATGGTTCAACTTGTTTATAGCTAGCCTTAAGGAAGCGCTAGATGATTCCTTTAACTCTCTTTTCCTTTCTGATTGCAACAGACCTTGAAATAATGGACTTTCAAAGTCAGACTGGTGTTGATGCAAAAACCAGGGATCAGCGTACATGGACTTTGAATTTCTACGTACTTACAAAAGAAATTGTTGAATCCCTTATAAGTCTGAATATAGAATATATTACATGGGCTGCTCTTGGTCTGGTTGCCATGATGGGGAACAAAGGAACAAAAGATGGGGAACATCTCTGGGGTGATCTATAAGGACTCTCCTTTCTCCCCCAATAAACCAACAGGGTAGTTGGGTATCTCCCATGCATTTGATCACTACTGTTGTGAGGTTAGAGGAATGGTGTAATAAGACCATGGGGCTTACATGAACCTGCAGTTCTGCCAATTGCTGACTCGGTTCACACAATACATTTAACCAGGTCAGTTAAAGACCTGGGGTTTACATTTGTAATTTGAACAAAGGTTAGTTTTTTTATTTTTATTTTATTTATTCCTTTTTCACTATACAACAAAAATAAAAATAAAAATACATTTTTTTCCTTAACAGTACTGTGTTATACATCTCATATATATTATTTACACTTATTTACATTAGTAATCATATCTTTTTCTCTTTTCTAGCCAATCATAACATTTGTTCCATATCTCGTAGAATTCTGTTGCCTCCTTGTCTTTTAGTTCTAGCATAAGTTTGTTCATTTCTGTGCATTCTAGTATTTTATATATAATCATATCATTTGTAGGTATGTTTTCACCTTTCCAACACTGGGCATATACTATGCAGGCTGCTGTTAATATATGTACAATGATGTATTGGAGTTGTTTTTCCATCTTTAAATTTATTATACCCAAGAGAAATAGTTCAGGTTTGAGTTCAATTTGCACGTTTGTTATCTCCTGTATCCAGTTCCTTATCCGTTCCCAATAGATCTTTGCTTTAGGGCACAGCCACCACATATGATAGAATGTTCCCTCCTTGTTTTTGCATTTCCAGCATTCCGGATTCATATTTTTATACATTTAGGCCAATCTCGCCGGTGTTAAATGCCATCTATAGAACATTTTATATTGATTTTCCCTATATGCAGTTGACAATGTCAGTTTACAATTTCTGTTCCATAATCTTTCCCATTCTTCCAGTTTTATATTTCGGCCCACATTTCGTGCCCATGCGATCATTGGCCCTTTCACCATTCCTTCCTCCAAATCTACCTCTAACAAATATTTATAAGTTTTTGTTAGACATTTTCCTTCCTTACCTGTTAAAATTTTATCCAATTGCTGAGGGGTCTGGTTTATTCCGTACTCTTCCATATCCTTACTATGTTTAGATTGGATCTGTAAGTATGGCCACCAATCTATAATTATTCCCTGTTCTTTTAATTCTTCTCTTGATTTGAGGTTTCCTTGGTTATCTAGTAATTCTTTGTATCTAATCATCTTTTTTTTATCCAACGTGTTAGGGTGGATCATTGCCTCCATCGGTGAGATCCAATTTGGGATTTTCATGTAGTGTCTTTTTTTAACTTTTTCCCATGTCCGAATGAGCGCATTAGTTTCTAATGGCTTATTGTGTTGTATAAACTCAGCCCACTGAGTTAATTTTTGGCTCAGTGTAGTGTATAGATGCAGAACTGGATTATTTCAGGAGACCCGCCACTGAGTCAGTTCACAGGACCACCAAATCAGTATTACTGTATCTATTCTGGATGATACTGGCTCATCTGTCATACCACATGATAGCACCTAGCACCTGGATTATTCTCTTTCTCAAAAAAAAAAAAAAAGGCAAATCAGGTTAGTATTTGCAAAGGAGACCAGTAGGAAATTCCAGGATCAGATGAGAAATTGGAAAAAAAACACACGCCAGAAATAACAATGGGGCACTGTTAACAAACCAATGACTGTTCATGGACACATCCATGAAGTGATGGGGCTAAGATTGTCTTGGGGTAACCTTTATGATGTTTAGAGGGGACATCTTACGGTTTCGGACAGTTTAACGTCCCTAACAGGACCTAGGGATGCTGAGGTCAGATTGCTTCTGTTTGCAAAGCATATGCTATATTACTGAGCGATTAGTCCTGTGCCTCTTCCAAGTATTTGGGTGACAGAAGCCAGGGGAAGATGCTTCTCATCAATGGAAGTCCCCTTACTATAGAACAGGAATGATTTCCTGTTCAACAGTCAATATATACTCATTTATTTATTAAAAATCGGGTCTTTTTGCGGCATTCTCAATGTGTGCAAGGTTAATTTACCCAACCTCCACACCTTTAAAGGATTTATTATCTTCTAGAATATAAGTAGGGAAAAGAAAGGGAGGGGTAGCAAACTCTGGGAAGAAAGAATGTGCCAGATGCTGTTAGGGTACGAGCAAAGTTTGATTGTAGAAGATTAAGAGAGTAAGCCATGATTAAACGGAAGAGCTTCAAGGAAAGAGAAGTGCAGAGAAAGGGATGCAACACATAATTGTTGAGGGAAAAAACTCTTTTGCCTCAAGGGAAGGAAGATAGAACTGATAAAAGTCATGTTAAGAAAAACCTAAAAATAGCAGAGATCATAAACAAGAAGGAACGGTATAAACAAATCCTTCTTAATCATCTTTGCATGATAAACTGGGACTGTAAAGATAAAACCGAACTGTAAAATGCATTTCAGATAAATGTAGCATATACGGATGTAAACAACTTAAAAAAAATAAAATCTTAGAACCAACCTTTGACACTTTTCACACACCTAGAAGATATCGGATGGATGAATAATAATAAAAACCACTGGCATGCAATAAAGGAAGTGAAATAATAATAAAAATGACCTTTGATTTCAGTGGGAACTTGTGTGTGCATGCCTTCCAGTCAATCTTAACTCCTAGAGATTGCCTGGACAAGTCCTTGCAGAATTCCCGCAACATTTCTTGATAATTTTTTCAGTAGTGATTGGCAGTAGTACTGTTTTTAGGGCTGAGAGAGAATGGATGACCCAAACTTACCCAGTTGGCTTCATATCTAAGATGGGATTTAAAACTCTCTTTTTTCCAGTTTCTAGTCTGGTGCCTTAAATTACTACACCAAACTGGGTCTCATCAATGGGGTCCGAGAACAATGAATATAGAGAAGATCCAGACCTGTAGCTTGATCTGGAACAGAAAAGCAATCGGTGGGAGAAGGAAGGAACCCCAACCACCTTGGACATGAAATTTTAGAGGGAAGAAGCCATCATTGATGAAAGTTTGTAGCAATGGGGTGTCCATTTGAAGAGTAGGGCAATTCTGCAAGGCTGGCATCATCCACTTACCACTGTTTTCTGGTTCCATTTGCGATTATTAATTGTTCCCAACTAATATTTCAGTGGGTTAGCAACTATTTCTAGGAAAAAGAGATTCCTTCACCCTCAAAGAGATTCCTTTAGTCCAGACATGTCAAACACAAAGCCCGGGGGCCGGATGCGGCCTGTGAAATGGTTTCATGTGGCCCACGAAGCCATCCTGGAAACAGTGAGGGAATGGTCCCCGCTGCCTTGGCCCTGGCCCAGGCCGGCCGGGAGCCAATGGACAATTTTGTGGTGGCCATCTATGCTGAAACGCATTCAGTCTTAGCTCCACAAGGCCATCTAGAAACAGCGAGGAACCAGCCCCTGCTGCGTCGGCCCCGCCCCTGGGTGCATGCTGGGGAGATGTCATCCTTTGTGAGGAATGAAGAAATGGACCATGCCTTGGTGCTTGCCCCAGTCCCACCCCCTTCTGCCAGAGACCCTCAGATCTGTCCCACTCCTGCCCAGGCCCCCACAGGTACCCTTGATGCGAACGATGGAGAGCTGGCCATGCCCACCCAGTAGGCCACACCCACTCCAGCCACGCCCACCTAGTAGGCTGCACCCACCCGGCTCCCCTGAGGGCAACCACAATGCTGATGCGGCCCTCAATGAAATTGAGTTTGACACCCCTGCTTTAGTCTGTTAGAAGAGTGCAGTTTGGGGACATACATCAACTTAGCTGTTTATATTTCTGCTCCAACTCCTCTTTAGGAAGGAGTGGAGGAGTCATAATGAAGACAAATGTATAAGAGATTCAAGGTCCTTTCCCTTTTTTTGTGTGTCATTTCCAGTTACTGCTGGAAAGAGGAATTCAACAAGGAGAACATCTTCCATAATCTGATCTGCGATGTTGCTGCGAAAAAACGAAAGAAGGACCAGCTGAATAATAATACCAGGATTCAGTGTAAGACATTTACAATATCAAATTAACAAAAGACAACTTTAATCGGAGGGAAAACTAATATATATATACATATATATTATATATATATATATATTTCTCACACCATGAAATGGTTTTTGCAACTCTTCCAGAAGTCTCTGGAGAGATTTTGCACCCGGATTTTGACCTTCACCAGAGAACTTGGATTCATTGCAATTTGAAGATGGATGACTTGGATTTTAAACTCTGCTCCGTGTGCAATGCCTTTGCACTGACATTATCATCATTTGTATTTGGCAGAGAAGAAGTTTCCCCTTTCTTTCCCACCAGTGAACTGATCTCAACTCTTTACACTCTGAATATTTGAACTGGAGTTTTTATATACAGTTGTTTCTTAAAAACAGGGGTATCCATAACTTGCTGGGGTGGGGGTGAAGGAGGGTGTTCCTAAAAATCCGGATGGGACCGAAGGGCTAACATAATTTCTGAGTTCAAAGTGTTAATGTCCATATGATTTTAAATGAAGTGTATTTTTGTTTGCACAGATTTTCACCAAGAAAAATGGATTTATGTACACAAGGGAAGCACTAAAGAAGTGAGTACCCGTTATTTTTTTTAAACCATTAATATTTTGCCTAAAATCTCCAATCTCTTCCATCATTGTTTCCATCAAATGTAGTTAATAACATTGAATACATTGCTTCAACAATACTGTAATATGGATATATTTTATTAAAAGTACCGATTTTTGACTGGCTGCAGTTCAGTGATACAGTATAATGTTTTAGACCTGGCGTGTCCAACCTTGGCAACTTTTAAGGCTTGTGGACTTCAACTCCCCAGCCAGCATGATTTTAAATTTGCCAAGGTTGGACATCCCTGTTGTAGACCAATATTTCCCATCCTCAGCAACTTTAAGATGTGAGGACTTCAACTCCCAGAATTCTCCTACTGCCTAGGGAATTCTGGGAGTTGAAGTCCCACATCTTAAAGTTGCTGAGAATTCAGAAACATTGCTTCAGACTGTACTCGTTCAAATTAGACCTGAGAAAGAGCAGATTTACTTCATCTAAGAGGGAAGAATAAACCTTTGGTGATCTTAAAAGCTCTCCGGATAGTGGTTGCTCAAAGTGAATGGTATATTTACCTTCAGTGGGAAACATATCATGAGCATAGCCAACACATTTAAAAAATGATCTCCCATGAGCCCAAGAAAATGGAAAATCTTGGTCTTGTCCGTTTGCTTAATTTGGACTCATCTACTTTGCCTCATGATCCCTTTTATGGGCATTTGACTATGTAATATAAAAGCATCATTTTTGCAGCATGACAGTTCTAAGCCCAGAAAGAAAGGATCCACCTATGCAGGTTGGTGATCAGCAGATCCAGGCCAAGAAATCTCCAGTAGAAAGGTAGATTTTCCCCCTATGATTGCTGCATTGGAAAACTCCTCTTAGTATTTGCTTTCATGAAAGTGGAGGTCTTGATTACCTCTTAGCCTTGCAATCCACCAGACTTTGTTGTTCTGCAAGTCTAGTTCCAGACCATCCAGACAATTTGCTTCTAATCTGAATCATTAACACAAAGAAATCACTCATCTATTTCCTTTTCTTACTCTTAGCGCCATGGCTATTGCACCCTGGGAGAAGCTTTCAATAGACTGGATTTCTCTAATGCTATTCTGGACTCCAGAAGATTCAACTATGTTGTACGGGTGAGTGTCAAAGATTGGTCTACCCAACTGATGCAGTTCATTCAGATGTTATTGTTTCTCCCAGAAGATTCACAGGTTAGAGTAAAACAAAATGAAATACACTAAAGAACCAATACACTATGCCTTTAATATGGGGTGGTCATAAAATATGTATGCAGATCTGGTACAAGTGCCATCCTTCTCTCTGTTTGTCTCAGTCTCTATCCATCTATCATTGTCTGTCTGTCTGTCTGTCTGTCTGTCTGTCCAGCACAGTTGGAATACTGCATCCAGTTTTGGTCACCACAGTGTAAAAAAGATGTTGAGACTCTAGATAGAGTACAGAGAAGAGCAACAAAGATGATTAGGGGACTGGAGGCTAAAACATATAAGGAAAGGCTGCTGGAACTGATTATGTCTAGTTTAATGAAGAGAAAAATGAGGGGTGACATGATAGCAGCGTTCCAATATCTCAGGGGCTGCCCCAAAGAAGAGGGAGTCAAGCTATTCTCCAAAGCCCCCGAAGGCAGGACAAGAAGCAACGGATGGAAACTCATCAAGGAGAGAAGCAACCTAGAATTAAGGAGAAACTTCCTGAAAGAACAATTAACCAGTGGAACAATCTGCCTCCAGAAGCGGTGAATGCTCCAACACTGGAAGTTTTTAAGATGAGATTGGACAACCCTCTGTCTGAAATGGTATGGTTTCCTGCCTGAGCAGAGGGTTGGACTAGAAGACCTCAAAGGTCCCTTCCAACTCTATTATTATTATTATTATTATTATTATTATTATTATTATTATTATTATTATTATTATCATTATCATTATCATTATCATTATCATTATCATTATCATTATCATTATCATTATCATTATCATTATTAATTATTATTATCCTATCTATCTAATTTCTATTTAATTTATGACTGGGACAATTGTTTAAAACAACTCAATTGGGCTTGGCAGATAGCTCTTCTGGATGAGATCATACAGCTTGCTTTAGTAGATTAATTACAGATTTTATGGCTGCATTCACACAGTGTAATAAGGTTGCTTGGTTGCTTAATTTACGGTTCAGTGCTATATTGTGTCTGGATCTAAAAACATTGATTCATTCAGTCAGCAAGTTAAACATGTTGGGTGAAAGGTAGACATGAAAGAGGGGAAGAAGTAGCCTTGCAGGAATTGTTTGCATGCGTGAAGAGCTTTGGGACATACTTGATTAGAATACAAATGGCTATCTTCAGTGATCAGTTTACAACCCAAGAGAATTAGTAGGAGATTTTATTCTTAAGAACAAAAAATATCCAGCCCAATCTCCTGGATTAGTTGGAATTATAACTTCCACCCTGGGTGGGAATTCTGAAAAAAAAAAAATCCCAATAAATTTGGAAGGCTGGAGAAAGCTAATTTAGACCTTTTATAGAAAGAAATTTCAAAAGCTACTGGTAACTTCTGTTTAAGATTGAAGGCTCAAGAGCATCTGGGTTTAAGTAATATGGTTTATCGAATCACAGAAGTATATCATCCCTTGCTATGGTTCCAATAAGTCTCTGTTCCAGAATAGTTCCTGGTCTTAAATCCCCACCAACACCTGTTTGCCCCCTTGGCTGAGTCTCAATTTTAGTTCTTCTTGTTATGCTCTCCCATGTTTCCATCCCCCCTCCCTGAATTTAATGTTGTACCAAGGCCAGCTGGCAGGTCAAAGCTGTTTACGCATAACTGTCATCCTGCTTAGTCATTGTTGTCAACTGCTTTAGCTTTTCACTTCTAGGAGAAAGTTCTGGCTGGCAGGTCGCCAGAACCAGCTAAGTCAAGTGCTTCACTGCAGGCAAACAAAGAGATGATATACAGCCTTTTGGTCATAGTTCGGGAGTCAGTTATATGTTGTTAGATCAGGAACTCCAAACAAAGTTGCTCAGTTGCTTTTCATTTATCAGTCAAAAACAATCCAGAGCTGTTGTGACAGTGACTTCTCTCTGAACTGTACACCAACCAACTAAAATAATTCCTAGCATGTAGATTATACATTGGTTAAAAGAGCAGACAGACCGGCACCTTTGTCTCAGGATGGGTCTGTAACTGTTCTAAGCCATGATTTGTTTAATGATGGGTTATTGAATTAACTGTAAGGCCCACCCAACCTATTGCTAGAAACCCTGGCTTACAGTCTTCAATAAAAGCAAAAAAACCTCCATAATTTAATTTAGTAAATGTTCAAGCCAGTCCTATACAAAATGTAGGTCTGTATGCAAAGTATTTAAAGGATGTTCTTCTTGAATTTAAATAAACCTGAGTTAATTGCTCATTGCACAAGAACAACCAAGAGCAGAAAATGTGCTTGTCCTTTACTGAACTCATTTCTTGCAGAACTGGCATGGTGTATTCTGGCATATCACACTGAACTTTAAATTTTCAGACAGTTCAGTTAGAAGATATTTTTTTTGAAAAAATAACTGATTCACTTCTTTTATTTTTAATAGAATTGGTTGGAGAAAAAAAGGAAAGGCATAAACTTTAGGGAATTGATTGCTGACAACCTGCTTTAAAAAATTTAGTGGCAGCTTTTGAAATTACAATTATTTGCTGCAACTGTTTATGTGATGAGGAACCAACTGGTACAAGTTTGGTCAAATTTTACCATACTGTAAGAGAAGGAGTGGCAGAACCTGGAGGTGGAGTCAAAAGTGCAATTAGCCTAGAGTCTCTACGTAGCCACAAATGGACTAAGTCCAATCTCTCTTGAATTCTGTTGTCCCTTATCTAATGGCAGGCAAGTTAACTATTAGTTGATTCTTGTGCATAAGCATGATTAGTAATAAATCAGTTTAACTGGATCTTCATATGTGATCCTGATCTTTCGTGCCTGACACTTGCCTAGTTTCAAAAGCTCCTTGTGCTGTAATTAATACACCTTGAAACAAGCACTTCCAAATTGCTTCATGCAGCCAAGTTGGAATGGCAGAGTGTGTAAATCCAAAGCTTGCTCCATTTTCAATATACTATTTTGTGTTGGATCATTTTTTGGAATGATAGTAGGGCGCCCTCAGGATGGCTGCAAGAATGGAGGGGGGGACTGCTATAGGTACCTACCATTAAGCTAGATTTGGCCACCCCAAAAACATAACTAGAAAGCAAACAGATGAAATGGTTATCCATGGAGGGAGGACACAAAGGGGTAAACAATGACATAGCATGACAAGGTCACCCAGATTTTGCAGTTGACATCCTTGCATAAAAGGTCATGATTTTATGTCATGATTTTAAGATGTCATGATGCAGGAAAGCAATGGCAGCGTTTACTTGAGGAAGTCATCCCAGTTTGGCATCAACTGCAAATGAGAATGCAATTACATAATTCATCATTTAGGGATAATATAACAAGGAGCGCAGGGTCATTATGTTGTCATAATGTGACTTCTCCTGGACTGGGGTGTTGAGTGTGAAATGATATTTCTACCTGAAATGGCTCAAAATAACTTACAGAACATTTAAAAAAAAAAATAGCAGGAGAGTTGCCATTCTAAATAAGACAAAAATTGGATGAAAAAAATGGAATAACCAAAAGAAATAAGGGATCATTTAAAAAAAATAAAGCTGAAAGACCTTTATCTAAAGCCAAATTTCTCGCCATTAGCATTTCCGTATGTATAAGTTGCAGTATTAAAGAACCAAACCTGGTTTTTCCAATCATTTCTCTGTTTTCTGCTGCCTTAAAAATTGAGCTGTAGTTCCAAATTCAAAATTCTGTTATTCAGATTGGCAGATGATTAAGCAACGGTGGGAAAAAGAACAGGTTCCAGTGTAGCTCAAATTAAAATAGGATGTTTCAAATAAATTGATCAGATTAGCCAAGTACCATGAATGTAATCAAGCCACCCCATAAAATATTATGTAAATTCCTAAGCCTTTTTTTTTACTTTGGAGTATTTTAGCTTTATATGAAATGATTCTATTGGATCAGAGGCAAGAAGAATACCAAAGAGAGAAATGAATCATTATTTGTCATCCAAAACCCATCTGAGTTCGTGTTATGTCACTGACAGGACTTGGCCAAGGACTCTAATACCAAGATGTTGACACTTTGTTGACATCTCTTGGAAGTCAGAGAAGGATTAAAGGTGCCCTTTAAAATGGGGTTAGCATGTTCAGCAAGGTAACTAGTAATGTGTGTGACCCTGATTATGTTAGCTAATGAAGAATTCAGCATATCTTAAAATGAAGGCATGTTCAAGTAAGGGTAGTAGTCCTTCAAATATTCAGTACTATACAGCAGTGTTCCTCAACCTTGGCAACCAGTAGATATGTGGACTTTCACTCCCAGAATTCCCCAGCCAGTTTGCAAACTTCACACATCTTCTGGTTGCCACGGTTGAGGAACATTGCCGTACACCAGTAAGAAGCTCTTTTACTCTTTTGGAGTACAGAAAGCGACATCTTGAAGTTGACTTTGATTCCTTGCAACTTCATAGAGATTTCCAAGTACCTTGGGGGGGGGGTGTTGTTCCAGGGGGACATAGTGCAGAAGTACTCTGTGTCTGCCTTCTGAGATGCTTTTTCAACTTCCCTTCTGCGCTTGTAGTTCCTGGTGGTCTCCACTCCAGTTTTGCTTAGCTTTTAAGATGTCATCTAAGTGTTACCATCAGTTCTGAACAGGATATATGTTCCGTGTTGCTGTCTTTAGATAACAAGAGAACCAAAAGTGTAGTCCCTAGAATTACTGGGGTAGATCATAGATGATGATGAGGAGGAGGAGGAGGAGGAGGTGGAGGAGGAGGAGGAGGAGGAGGAGAAGGAGGATGTCATTCTGGAGTTGTCTTAAACTGCAAAATGGGTAGCTTAAAACAACCATATCCAAGACGGAGACATACAGCAACTATTTTGCCCTTTAACATGTATGTTCTGCCTTCACCCAGAATGGGGCTTTCCTCCACATTTTCTGGAGCATGGCACCCAGTGTGTTCTTGAGTTGTGCATGCTCTTGTCTTAGACCAGGCATGTCAAACTCGCGATGTCATGTGATGTCACATGACGTATCGTGACTTTTTCCCCATTGCCGGCAATGGAGTGGGCGCGGTTTCGACATGACGCATCTGGCCCGTGGGCCAGCAGTTTGACATGCCTGTCTTAGACCATGCCCAGTTCAGATATAAAGGAGTAGAAAGAAATGCATATGAGAAAGCATTCTTGGTCAGGACTGTGATGTCCTGGGGGACTTGGAAAGCACATAGTTGTGAGGGTGAGCATTTGATTTTATTTTTGTCAGGTCCCAGGTGATTCATAAAGATTAAGTTGTTTAGCTGGCATTGGTTGGATTAGCCAATTAGCTGTGACTGTTTTCCCTGCTCCCTGGATTTATATCTGTCATGTGCCTGTGGAAGATATTAATAGAATGTCCCATGTGTCTTCCATTGTCATTCAGAATTGGGCGGAATGATGGACAGGAGTTGACCAGTCATTAATACCACTTTGCGCCATGTCTACTGTTGAAAGTACAACTGAAAAGAATAATGGGGGGGGGTACTTTTGGCTCTCTCTCACTGCCATCATGTAGATTTATGTATATCTTTAAACAGATTAAATGGCAACCATCTATCTATCTTTGTCCTCTGTTTTAATGACTTGGTTTAGTAAGTAAACTTACCAGAAGAAGCCAAATAGATTGTAATTATTGAAACTCTTGCCTCTGCTTTTCCCCATAATTCTGTCTGGCTCCAATCTTCCTCCTTTTGTGTGTGTGTGTAAGTCAAGCAGCAAATAATTAAAACTGTTTCGCTGGGTTGAGAAGAAAACCAAGATTAGAATTGCTCAAGAGGTTGAATTTCTTATTTTTATTCACAGTTGTTGGAGCTGATTGCAAAGTCTCAGCTGACATCACTGAGTGGAATCGCCCAGAAAAACTTTATGAATATCTTGGAGAAAGTTGTGCAAAAAGGTATGGGTATATATAAATAGAAAAGGCAAAATATCTTGATTTTCCAAGAAACAGGCTGATCTCTAGTACATTCATTTAGCAGATAATCTGGTTAGGTTTATGTCTTTGATTTTTGACCAGTTCTTGCTAAGGTGAGAGGTGGGACTAAATCCTACCAAATCCAATATATAGAAATGACAGTTCTTCCCAATATGATGTCCTCTGATCTACCTACAGACTCCATCATATATAGCCAGCATAACTAGGGTAATCCAACATATTAATCCAACATACATATAATTACAATAATCCAACATATTAGGAATGGAAGACGCCAGTTAGAGAAGGATGAAAAAAATGACATGAATGAGCAAAATTGCTTTGCCTTGTTCTTCACAACCCTGTGTGAATGTCATAGCAGTCTGTCTTTCACAAGTGCGATACCATTATATATGTGCCTCACACTTCCGAGTGGTGACAGGTTTTGAGATATGAGGAGGTAATGAAGATTTGGCTTATCACCCAAGACAGAAAGGCCCCAAATAATAATTAAAAAATAGCTTTGTTTAAGGTCTTGTGAAGATCAGCAGCACTGGTCAATTTCAGGGGAACATTGACTGGCTCATGGAGTTCCCTACATTTGTAATAATTTTTAAGTCTGTGGGATAATTGCAAGGCAATTTCAAACTGTTGTGTAGGGACCAAAGGCTACATAGGATGGAAATGCCTACACATCACTTTGCACCGCCCTGGAAGTGAAGGATGAGAAGCAAAACTGATCCTTCTCCGTGATCCTCCAGAAGTGACTTTTCTTCAGTCTGTTTGCTTCTTTCTTCTTTGCCTGTATCTGAATGTCCCTTTTCTCTCATTTCCCCCATAAAGTTCTGGAGGATCAACAGAATATCAGATTGATAAAAGAATTGCTGCAGACTCTGTACATGTCACTTTGCACCTTGGTCCAGAGTGTTGGCAAGTCTGTTCTGGTTGGCAACATAAACATGTGGGTCCACCGAATGGAGATGATTCTTTATTGGCAGCAGCAGCTGAACAATATCCAGATCACCAAGGTGAGCAAAGAGTCTGACTTTTTGACTAGCTGATCAAAAAGCTGCTACTGGGTTACTTCCTAAAGCGGAAGAGATTCAACAACAACAAGATCAATATGCAGAATTAAATCTATCTGTATGTGTGCCGGCTTTTCAATTCTCTAGAATAATGGTTCTCAACCTGTGGAGGTGAGTATGGCAGGACATGAGAAGTGTGAGTCCTCACCTAATGACGTCACTTTCTCACCTGCAACCAGGACTACTAGAAGCTGTCGCTAAGCAGTGCAGTCATGTGACGTTTCGCCTAACGACCACTTTGCTTAGCAATGGAAATTCCAGTCCCACTTAGAGTTGTTGGGTGAGGTAATACCTACACTTGGCCTTGGTTAATTGAGAACGCTAAGCAGGATTAGCGGAGTTATTATTTGAATGGGCACCTTTTAGGAAGTCTATCACTATAGGCTAGGTGGGAAATTGAAAAAACAAAATATTCTGTAAAAAACACAGAATGGCAAATCTTTTCAATATCTCCTCAAGAATCTGCTCATGAAGTCCTGAGGATGTCATCTCCCCTTGAAGGCAACTTTAATACAATAAGTGAACGTTCTTACAAGTTGCGTAGAAACTTTGGTATCTTTCAGTGTTGTCACCTGTTCTTTTTCTCTTTATTTCTCCAGCCTGATTTCAAAGGGTTGACTTTCACAGACCTGCCCTTGTGTTTACAACTAGACATCATGCAACGGCTGTCAGATGGGCGAGACATCGTGAGTCTAGGGCAAGTGACTCCGAGTCTTCAGGTGCTCAGTGAGGACCGGCTCCTCTGGAAAAAACTTTGCCACTACCATTTCACAGACCGACAGGTAAATGGCAGTGGAAAGTGATATGTAAAAGCTCCAAAGAAATATACAGAAAATAAATCAGAATCTTCCTCAGTTCGCCATTTGTTCTTGATTAATCATGAAGCTTATTCAACCAGGATGGCGTATCACACATGGACACTATCCTGTCTCTGAGCTTCCTCTTGAGGGCATATTGTCCACAAAGCAACAATGGCACACAGCTTATTCTTATAATGCTCTATTTCCTTCATGCCCTTCATAAAGGACTTTATCTTAAATTTCCACACCATTTTTAGAGAAGGAACATACTTGTAGATGCTTTCAGTTATTATTTCTTGTGTTAATTCTTGACCTCTGCTCATCCTGTTCCAATATTATTTTTAATTTTAAGACTTGCCACGTCCACACTTACTGTTTTAAGACGGCATACTTACTTCTTCATGGGTTCTCTTGTTGCGGAGTGACTGTACCATTAGCCATATCTCTGCAAATCTATAATTTTGTGTCTCTGTTTTAGATACGCAAGCGGATCATATTGTCAGATAAGGGGCATTTGGATTGGAAGAAGATGTACTTCAAGCTTGTGAGATGTTATCCACGGAAAGAACAATATGGAGATACTTTGCAGCTTTGTAGACATTGTCACATCCTTTCGTGGAAGGTAAATGCGTCACTTCGTCCTGTTCCACTGAAATACTCTGTAGAGCAGGGTTTTTTATTTTGTCTACATAATTCATTAATTTGAGCATAATTTATTAATTTGTGGATTTTCAGGCCATTTTAAAAAAAATAATATTTTTAAATTTCATATCATGGTGGGTAGATTAATGAATGCTCTGGTATATGAAGGCACTGCATTTCTAATCTCAGCTACTGTATACATATTCTAAATGTTCCATTAAGTGAAACCAGAAGACTGTGAGTTCTAATCCCGCTATAGGCATGAAAGCTGGCTGGGAACTTTGTGCCAGTCACTCTCTCTCAGCCCAACCCACCTCACACGATTGTTATTGTGCAGAAAACAGGAGGAAGAAGGAATATGTATATTCGCTGCCTTGTTGCATATAAAGTAATAACGGATAAAAATCAAATAAAAAGGAGGTGAATTTAAACCAACTTTGCACATCTTAATATGATTGATGAATGAGTTGGTTAATGAGCATTTAGTGTGCCATTTGTTCTTCTGGTGCTGATAGAACTACCTGATACAGCTTTTAAAGATTTTGATGTTCTTGTTTTGTAGGGCACCGAGCACCCCTGTACGGCTAACAATCCAGAAAGCTGCTTGACATCTCTTTCGCCCCAGGACTTCATCAACTTGTTCAGATTCTGAATTCCCAAATGATTTCACTACCTATCGCATTATTCCGATGGGACACTTTACACTGCTGAGCAGAAGGGGCTCAGTTTGTAACATAGCTTGTAAATAATATGGCTTGATGTTCCTGAGTCAAGAGGACAAGAGACTTTTGGGAGGCAGAAAGAGCCATAATCTCGTGGCCTTGAACTCTTGAGAGAATATAGCCTCCTCGTTTGACTGATATGTAAAAAGTCAAGATTTTTGTAAATATTAAGCTTGGTGAGAATTGGTGTGCAAGCTTTCGGGGGACAATCAATTTAGGAAATGAAAAGAAGAGTCCCCCTGCAAATATTTGGAAATGTCTTCTGGATTTCCAAAGCCAGAGGAATGAAACACTACAGTTAGGTTAAAACTTGGAACTGTTCCCAACTTGGCTTTTTTTATTTGTTTGCAGAAGATATTTATATCTAAAACTTTTTTAAAAGAGATTTACAAGGATATATCCCTTTATTCTTAAAAAAAATGAACTGACTCCAGATAAAATATTTTCCCAGTTTCTACCTCTGAAATAGCTTTCCAAATAACCAGTGTGTGGTATGAAGCATCTGTACATCATCTAAAGAGATTTTTTTTTTTTTTTTTAGAAAAAAAGCTGTTGATAGTAGCTTTCCAGGTGCTGCTTTTTGTTAACACTTAAGTTTTAATTTATCTGGCTGTCTTTTTTGGGTATTTAAATGTAACCGAGTTCTGGGAAATTTGGAACTTTTCCTAGGTCATTCTTGGATACCATTGAAGGCTATGTTGTAACTGCAGCTTAGACAGCTGAGTAACTACTTGAGAAGAGCTTTTACTAAAAACATGTTTTGGTTTTTCAACTTTGCATGCAGTGCAGATATGTTTACTCATTATCTTAACAAAAAGCCCAGAATCTTTGTGCAATTTAAATGTGGAAGATCATCACTCAATGAGTATTGCAATATCTGAGCTGCAAAATACAGAGCAGCCACTAGATGTCAGCAAAGAGACACCGTCTAAACCATCTCTTTGCTGACATCTACTGGCCATTGTGCACTTTGCAATGCAGGAATGACAATCCTATCCTAGATTGCATATAATGGCCGTTCCCTATGATTTCATGAACCCAGTTTGGCAGTTTCCATATCATTTGATACTGAAATTGGTGATGCCACAGGGGAAATACCCAGAGCTTTCCCAGAATAAAGGATGAGTTAGCTAGGATCCCTCTTCTAATTTGCTAACAAAGTTAGCATCCTGAGTGAAGATGAAGCACCTGATTTTAAGAAAAATTAATTACAGATACATGCACACTGCATATCCAAGTAATGACATTTCTAGCCGCAAATTCAGATTTCACTATAGCTGAGAAAGAGTGTCTGAATAATCAAGATATTACTTTAGTGTTTAGTCTTTCTCTTTGAGGCTTCCCCACTATATAATGAGAAAAATTCCCATATGAGCATGGTGTTTGCATCAGGGTTTGAGATGCTGATGTCAGGAAAATAGGAAATCAGACTAGAATTCAGGTAGTTCTAGACTTACAATCATTTGTTTGGCAACAAAGGTACTGAAAAAAAAAGGAATTACGACCATTAGTTGCACTTACAACTGTCACAGTATCCTCCTGATCGCATAATCAAAATTTTGGCACTTGGCAGCCGGACGTTTGTGGTGTCCTGGAGTCATGTGATCGCTATTTGCAACCTTCCCAGAAAGTTTCCAATAAGCAAAATCAAAAGGGGAAGCCAGATTCGCTTAACAACAGTGTGATTCACTTAACAACTGCAATAATTTGCTTATCAACCGTGGCAAAAAAGTTGTCAAAGTGAGTGTGACTCCCTTAACAACCACCTTGCTTAGTAATGGAAATTCTGGTCTTAACTGTGGTTGTAAACAGTTGGTTTCACTTAGTGACTGCCTCGCTTAACAACTAAGTTGCTGGTCCCAATTGTGATCACGAAACGAGGACTACTTTGTAAGTGAATAGGAAACTCATGTGTTTATAGATAGGCTCGTTCAGAAAGCAGCCCCGATTGGCAAATGAAGGATTATCAAATGTAAGGAAAAGGTTTTGTGATTGGGAGATTAGATGCAAATGAGAATTAAATTAAATGAGAATTAAAAAGAACCAGAAAGCCTCAGTGGTGTCTGCAGGAAAGGTGCAAAATGCTGAAAGCAACGTTGCAATCTCATGGGACAAGGCCCACCCCTTTTTGTACAGGTCTGTAAAAGGGGCAAAGCTTATGGCATGATGATACAACTTCCATTATTCTTACATGAGCAGCAAGTTCCTGCAGATGCTTGTGGGAGGTGGGATTTTAAAGGGTGTATATATGTGTGTGAAGCCATTTTTCTTTACTACACTGCACCACTCACTTTTTAAAAAAATTACTCAGCATAGGCTGCAAATTTGTTACTCTTCTGCATATACAAGAAGTCCTCGATTTACAACAGTTCATTTAGTGACTGTTCAAAGTTACGACATTTTTTAAAAAAAAGTCCCTTAGGACCGTTTTTCACATCATCATTGCAGCATCCCCACGGTCACGTGATGAAAATTCAAACGCTTGACAACTGATTCACATTTATGACAATTGCAGTGACGTGGGATCACGTGGTCGCCTTTTGCGACCTGAGATGCAAAGCTACAGGGGAAGCCAGAGTCCCGTAACAACGGTGTTACTAATAACTGCAGTGATTCACTTAACAACTGTGGAAAGAAAGGTCATAAAATGGAGCAAAATTCACTTCACAAAAATGAAGTTTTGGGCTCAATTGAAGTCGTAAGTCAAGGACTACCTGTATCTACCCAGTTGTTTTTTTTTTAAATTGTCTGCTACTGGGCGCACTTGGTGGCTAGGATGTGTATTTTTAATTTTTTGATTTGACAAAATGTGTGAATGTTACACTGTAGAAAAGCTGATTGTTGCACCTATGTTGTTTGAATGATAATAATAATCTGAATCACTTGTATAGGATATAAACTTTATAACTTTTAAGCGAATCTAGGACGTTGATACATGTTCACACAAGTTCAGGGACAAAAACCATATTCCAGAATAGTCTGGTGGTGACTTACAATCTTTTGTCTGCAGTAGAATTCTGAGGTAAATGTGCCTGCCATTTGGTAAAATCTTTGGTTTTGCACACGTTTGCACCAAGTATTAAGACATCCAGCCAGTTAACCTTCCCTACAAATCAACAATAAACACAGATATGCATCCTGTTTGCCTTTTTTGAAACAGGGCCGGAATCTTCCAAGCACAGTAAAGTATCTACGAAATCTTAATATTTCTTTGACAATTCTTTGGCTTCTATTCATGCACTACAGAAGGGAGAACAGACTTTTTCTCAGCAACCTGTTGATGGTTCATTTTAGCAGCTCTGCAGTTTGACACAAAATCTTACCGTGCTTTGTGAAAACAGTTCCCCTTGTTTGCTAAATTGTTGACAGAAACATTGCCCTGCTGTAAATATGATGTTTTTTATGACTTTGAAGTGTCCAATCTATTTCACCTACCATGGTTCTTTCTATTTAAGATTTGGCGTTGTAAAGTTCTGCTATAATGTACAAAATGCAAAATCTTTGTTTCAACTGTTCACTTCAAATCTTTTCACTGCTGGTGTCTTTTTCCTTTTCAAAAAAATATCCAGGTCAGCAGAGAAAAAAAAGAGAATATCTGCACTGGTTGTTGTTGTTGTTTTTTAAAAAAATTAGATATCTATTAACAATCCTTCAACACATTATCTTTTGAACTGAGTGTGTTGGTCTTATAATAATAATTATTTTTTAATATTCTTGTGAACCACTCTGGGATCCTTTCAGGGAAAAGAGCTATTAAAATATTTTGAGGAGGAGGAGGAATCTGGAAAAAATCTGGAAGCGAATTCAAACACTTGTCTGATAAAACGCTTTTGGCTGTAGCAGATTCTGTATCTTCTATATCTCTGCAAATACTTGAGGGCTAACAACTGTTGCAATTCCAGATTTTTTTCCACTTCCAAAATCCAAAATTTTGAGGATATTTATAAACCATCCTCATGCAGGTTACAAAATATCACAAAGTGCAACTCAAGCCCAGAAATCAATAAGCATTATTAGAAGACCAACCATTAAGATGATGGCTACAATAGTTTTATTGGCAGAAGCTCTAATTGTTCTCTTGTATGGAAATGAACTTAGTACAGATAGTCCTCGATTTACAACAGTTCGTTTAATGATTGTTCGAAGTTACAACAGCATTGAAAAGAGTGACTTATGACAATTTTTCACACTTATGCCCATGGCAGCATCCTCATAGTACGTGATCAAAATTCAGACGCTTGGCAACTGACTCATATTTATGACAGTGTCCCAGGATCATGTGATCACCTTTTGCAACCTTCTGAGAAACAAAGTCAATGGGGAAGCCAAATTCACTCAACAACCATGTTACTGACTTAACAACTGCAGTAAGAAAGGTTGTAAAATGGGGCAAAAGTCACTTAACAAATGTCTTACTTAGCAACAGAAATTTTGGGCTCAGTTGTGGTCATAAGTCAAGGACCACCTGTATCTGCCTTCTGGAATGGCTCTTTAGCACTTTGTTCTTATGTCAGCACTTTATGTTCACTCATATTCAGTGGTAGGAACCAGATGGTATATCAGAAAGACCTTTACTCCAGTTCTTGCATTCTCCTATTTGAATTTGAAGGAATTCTTCCTTTTTTGACAGATTGGGATTTTAAAAAAAAGAATGTGGCTAGATTCGAGCTGGGAAAATCTGCAGGAAATCTATTCTAAAAGGACTTTTCTGGGGTGTTGGGTTAGATCTTATCACAGTTATAAATACTGATGTCAGTGACCTTATAAATACTTATAGGATCCACAATGTTTGAAGAGCAAGGGAGATACTCTATCCTACTGCCATAGAACAGGGCTTAACTCTGTTGAAAAGGTCCATCCAAGCTATTATGTAATTTATTTCTCTTTCTTGAAGAGATTTGGTAGAGAAGATTCTCCTATACTGATCTTATTTTCTGCTCCTACAATTTCAGGTGTTAGGTTAAGCCAATGTTTCTGAACCTCAGTAACTTTAAGAGGTATGGACTTCAGTTCCCAGAATTTTTGAACTCTGCACTTCTTAAAAGTTGTAAAGATTGAGAAACAGCAGGCTAAGCTATTATATGACTTATTGTATTAATCTGTGAGCTTAGTTTCAAGAATGCAGCCATGAAAGGGTTGTAAATTGCATTTTATAGCAAGATATATGAAATCAGCCCATTGGCTAACAAACCATGGTTAAGTCAACAATAACTTAGAACCAAACCTCAACTCAAGCACAGTGTTGACAAATATTACAAATTTTGCTGTACATAATGTCAGGAATTCAGTTCCAAAATGAATAAACCCATAATTTAATGGATCTTTGTTTAAGTTTATACTTTGGA